ACATGTATTATTAGTGCGTTATTCAGACACTACTCATACATTTTATATAATTTCAATTTTTTTCATTAATAACTTTAAGTATTATTAAATGTGGTCATTATATTTTATTATATATAATATAACTTAAAAGGCTCTCTTTTGCATTCATCTCCACATTTCGACAGGAATGTGTGGAATTTGGGATCTTTAATTTGTTTCCTTAAACTTACTGTTGTTTTGAAAATATAAAGAAAGAACAAATAATAAATTGAGAGTTCTGTTTCTTCTTCTTCTTCTCTTTTTTATTCTTTTATTCTTTTTTTATTTTTTTAAGTAAAATGCACTCCTAATGCTTATCAAGATTGTTTAACAATTAAATATTTTGTTAATTATAATTATTATTTTGGCCACCATAATAAAACTTTATTGATAACTAAAACTTCACTTATAAGTTACAAGAATTGAAAAAGAAATACAAAACAATTAAATAAAAACAGTCCCTAAACCAACAAGTAGAGAAAATACCTACTTACTCAAAAACACTCCAGTTTCTCTCACAACCAGCAGCACTACAAGTTAAACTCAAAATTCGAATGGCCAAGCTCATCAACTCTAGAGTTTCCATTCCATACGAACTCCACCATTGAGCTTCAAGACATAAGCAAGGCAAGCAAATCATCATTATGAGAATGATTAATTCACAAATAATACATAAATTTCTTTCAAAAAAACAAGAACTAACAAATCAAAATTAGAAAAAAAAAATCAGTACCCAACTTTCTACATTTTGCTTACCAGGTGCTCTTTTGCTCCTGGACCGTACTGCCATGGGATCAGCAAACATTCCCTCAGCTTCTTTGTACAAGTGCAATTGATCTATGATTTTGTCTTGATCATCATGATTTGGAATTAACTTTTCAATACAATCATATAAGCCCTTCACAATCTCTTTATTTGTTGCAATGCTTGGGTCATTATAAAAGAATTGAGGGTTCAAAAAATGACCAGCAGCATGCAAAGGATGATGAAGCTGATTCTCCCATCTCTTATCTATAAGAGAAAATACATTCTTATACTTTTCTTCATTCCCATCAAAGGCCTTTTGAATGGCTTCCTTGGCCCTATCCATTGCTTCATAGATATAACCCATTGCTGGTTTTTTTTCATTATCAACTAGGCGAAGAACACCCACTAAAGGACCCATAACTTTAAGGGCATACACAATCTCATTCCAAAAAGAAGGCATCAAGATAACATCAGTAGCCCTCTTACCCTTAACTTCTTTGTAAAACTTGCTTTTCATCCACTCATCTGATGTGAACATCTTTCTAAGGTTAAGCTTTTGCTTGTGAACCCTTTCCAAAGTAAGATAGGTTGTAGCAAACCTAGTGACCCCATACCTAACTAATTCTTTCTTTTTTGTGAAAGTTCTCATCAAACTTAAGGCAGAGGTGTGGTTGTATATAAACCCAACTAGAAAAATGGCTCTCTCCAAGGTTCTTTTTATATTTGGCAGCTTTCCAATATCCTCTAAAATGAGATCCACACAATGTGCTGCACATGGAGTTCAAAACAAATTCTTTCTTTTAGCTTGTAGCAATTTGCCTGCAGCAATTTGCCTGCCAAGACATAATTGCTGCCATTGTCAGTGACCACTTGAATGACATTTTTCTCTCCAATCCTCTCCACAAAAGCATCAAGTAACTCATACAATCTATCCCCTGTTTTCATGTAAGAAGATGCATCAATAGATTCTACAAACATTGTGCCTGCTAGATAGTTCACCAAGAAGTTAATTATACTTCTTTGTCTTCTATCTGTCCAACCATCAGACATAATTGAGCAATCATACTTTGCCCATTTCTTCTTGCGATCCTCTAGCATATCATTTGTAAGCTGCAATTCCTTTTTCAACAATGGAACCCGCAACTCATGATAGCTAGGAGGCTTTAAATTTGGACCATACCTCCCAATAGCTTCTACCATATATTTGAAGCTATCTAAACGTGCTACACTAAATGGGATCCCAGCTTGATAAAAAAATCTAGCTATATACTGGACTGTCCTAGCTCTTGCTTCTGGATCACTATCTTTTATACTCATTTGCCTCATTTTGCTTTCTTTTCTTTTTTGAACTATAGTTTCTGGTTTCATCAAAAACAAATCCATCAGGCCTTTGGTTTTCTTCCCACTACCCTGCATTCCAGCCCCAGATTTTGCAGTCAACAACCGTTTACCACTTGCATTAAACTCAACTAATTCAACCTCATCCAAATCATCATCACCGATTCTACAATCTTCTAAACAATTAAACATCTGAAAAGAACCTGTGGATTTTTGAGTTGTAATAATTCCACAGCTCTTCCTTAACCTCTTGTGAGACTTTTGGACAAACTATAGCATTACCCAAACGCCCCATCTGATGTTTCTTTGCTCGATTGATTCCCCCAATAGTTGTTTTATTACAAAAATTGCAGGTAACATAATTGGGTTTACTAGGATCCTTCAAAGAATTATATTTCCAACCGAGATCTTTCTTATTACTAGACCTAGATGAAGTTGTTTCCATTTGCAAAAGGAAACACAGCAAGTGCAGAAGCAGGGGAAAAAACAGAGCAAAAAAAAAAAGAAAAAAAGGAAAGAACGTTGGAACTTGGAAGGAATGAGAGAATCAAACTTGAAGAAAGCAAAGAAGAGAAGAAAATGTGGATCTTTCTTGTCACAGGCTCAATCTTGAAGAAGGATGCCTGATCTTGAAAGACGAAGAAGAAGAAGAAGAAGAAGCAATAGTAGTGTCTGGACTGAATCACGATTTAGATCCAATTTTAGGTGTTTTAGGGTTTTATTTAGGGGAAAAAAATGTTAAAGTACCATTTTACCCTTAAATTTTAAGGTTAAATTGGATAATTTTGTCAAATTGAACAAAAAAGAAAAAGCCAACGCTTTGGGTGCTTCGCACTTTGGGCGCTTCACTCCCACTTCACTAAAGTCTGGCACTTCACTAATTACTGAAGCACCAGAGGTGCAAACCGCTCCGCTTTACCGCTTAAGTGGTTAAAGCGGACGCTTTTGACAACACTATTGTGCTGTCATTTTAGAACATTCTAGTTTATAGCATCTAAATCCTTTATTGTTAGCTCCAGCTAGATTTTATAGTATGTAGCAACTAGGAATTTAATCCTAGACTTGTGGCTAATAGCACAAGCTACTGTACCACCAAACCACATGGTTGATGGTAGTGCTAGTTAGATTTTAAGTATATAGAGAAGTTTATTCAAATTTGAGAAAATTTAATGGTTATGTTTATATTGTGAAAGGCGTGCAAAGTCCAGAAGTATCATAATTTTTCTTGTGGGCTCAAATTCCATACTTTTAATTGACATGTAATTTCAAAACAATAAAAAATAAAGAAACAAGGATGAATTGCAAGTCCCACCTTGCTCTTTCATGGACCTATTATCTATTGCTTGGTAACTTACTCTTTACCCTAATTATTACACATATAATGTATCTTTTTTTTTTTGGGGACATATCCCAGATGAGTTGTGTTCACACAATTCTCTCCAATTTCTAGACCTTTCTCATAACAATCTCTTTGTAAGCTTGCCAATATGCACTGGTAACGTAAGTGCCTTGCTTAATGAGCAACCATTCTCAAGAGTGCGAATTGAATTTGGCTTCCTCTTTTCTATTGACGGTATTTTTTATGTAGCTTATCGAGAATACAATTGTTTTGATAAAAAGTCAGTTTGCTTGAATATGACAAGATACTTCACTTGCTGAAAACCATGAATTTTTTCGGTAACAGTTTATCAGGGAGATTCCTTTAGGAATAACTAATCTCCAAGGGTTGCAATCAGTTAATTTATCACACAATCTTTGCACTAGAAGGATCCTAGAAAACATCAACAACATGAGAAGCTAGAATCAATCAACTGATTTCTCAAGGAACAAATTGTTTGATTCAATTCTAGAAAGCATGTCGAGTTTGATGTTTTTGAGTTACTTGAACTTGTCCAATAACCAATTCAGTGGGTGAATTCCTTCAAGTACTTAGTTGTAAAGTTTCAATGCATCTAGCTATGCTGGAAACAAATTTTGCGGCCTTCCACTACCAGATAACTGCAGTGTTAATCGAAATTCTATACCTAGCATCCAAAACAGAGGTGAAAAAGATGGAATGGAGTTGAAATAAATTGGTTGTTTGTGAGGCTGACACTTGGATTTATTGGGGGATTTTGGAGTGTACTAAGTCCTCTGGTGATTAGCGGGAGATGGAGATGCATGTATTATCAATTTCTTGAGGAAATGTGGTGTAAAATCTGTGATTCTGTAAACAAATATTTCTAAAGTTTAACGTGTTTCTTTTTATAAATGTGTTAGTCTTGAATTATTGAGTATCATATCATTTCCTCTAAGTTGTATTGTGTAATAAGTTTCCATATCATCAATGGAATATATGTTGTGGCTTTCCCTCACCAAAGTTAATTATTGATCTATCATCAATTGCTTGCATGCATAAGCTTTTTTTATCTTGTTGCTGCAACAAATCAAATTGAATAATTTTGCACGTCCAGAAGAGATTTCTTTTACAGACCCCTAGGGAAGACTGGCACACCATTCACTAATTTCATGGCCTCAAAACAACAGAAACCTTCCCATTCTACATGTATTGGAGTCTGCGGAAGATGTTGGACAAAGGAATGAAGAAATTCATGTAGGCGTGTAGAATGGGGTATGGAAAAAGCATGTTTACGCCATACCGGAGCTGTTGGGGAAATTGATGGTAGGCACGTATCCAATTGGACAATGGGTTATGGAAAAAGCTTATTTAGTTCACTTTCTGATCCTCACGACAATGCATATTTATTGTGCTTGAAAGATGCTAAGGTTACTGTAGAATCTTGGAGCCAAAATAACATGCAGGTGAAATAAGAGATTAATTAACTCAGTTTGTGATCAATGACATCTATGTTGATTGGAAACTTAAAAGACTGGTTTTTGCTGATTGCCTTTGTTTTGATACTGTAAAGCTCTTATGCAATTGATGATATTAGGAGACTAGTAATTCTCCTTGTTGTACGTTTAGCATAATTCCAAGGATGATCTCATCTTCCTAGATTGTTTGAAGTAATATAATGTTCTTATATATCTTCTATTCTCGGCAATCAGTACTTAGAGCCACAAAAGTCTTAACTTCTAAATCAACTCTTTAAACATAATAAATATTAACTTGCTTGTTTACACTCTTATTTTTATTTATTTACTTTTTTCGAATAACTGCATGCGTAGGGCGTGCACCTCAAAAAAATGAAGACATCCCCCATTCTACACGTACCGGATCACAGTGGAATTGATAGCATGCCTATGAAATTGAAGAAAATTACGCAGGCGCAAGCGTGTGGGATGGGGCATGGAGAAAGCATGTTTAGGTCCCATTCGAGTTATTGAGGAAATTAATGATAAACGTTGTGGAAATATATAGCAGCGACTTTGAACCTAGAAAATGAAGAAATTAATTGATGCTGACGTTATGAAATGGCCGAGGGTGGAAAAAAGCATGTTTAGGTCCCATTCGATTCGAGTTGTTGAGGAAATTAATGATAAACGTGCACAATGGGTTGTGGAAATGTGTAGTAGTGACTTTGGACCTAGAAAATGAAGACATTGACTGATGCTGACGTTGTGAAATGGCCGAGGGTGGAAAAAAGCATGTTTAGGTCCCATTCAATTCGAGTTGTCGAGGAAATTAATGATAAACGTGCACAATGGGTTGTGGAAATGTGTAGTAGCGACTTTGGACCTAGAAAATGAAGAAATTAACTGATGCTGACATTATGAAATGGCCGTGGGTGGAAAAATGCATGTTTCGGGTCCCATCATCCGAGTTGGTGGAAAATTGATGGAAGGGGTATCCGAATGTGGCTTCCTCTTTTCTATTAACCACATTTTACAAGTAGCTTATCCCGAGAATGCATTTGTTTCGATGAAAGGTCAGTTGCTGCTTGAATATGACAAGATATTTCACTCGGTAAAAATCATAAAATTTTCAAGTTACAGTTTATTAAGGACATTTCTTCAGAAATAATTGATCTCCAAGTGTTGTAATCAATAAATTTATCACACAAGCTTTTCACTAGAAGGATCCTAAAAAATATCAATAACATGAGAATGTTAAAATCACTTGATTTCTCAAGAAACAAATTATCTGGTTTCAATTTCGGAAAGTGTGTCAAGTTTGACGTTTTGAGTTACTTGAACTTGTCCAATAACCAACTAACTAGGCGAATTCCTTCCACGTAGTCCGTTGCATAGCTTCAATGCATCTAGCTATGCAGGAAACAAACTTTGCGGCCTTCCACTGCCAGATAACTGCAGTGCTAATGGAATTCTATACCTAGCATCCAAAATAAAGGTGGAAAAGATGGGAATGGAGTTGACATAAATAGGTTGTTTGTGAGCATAACACTTGGATTTATTATGGGATTTTGGAGCGTACTAAGTTCTCTGGTGATTAGCAAACGATAACAATGCATTTATTATCAATTCCTTTAGGAAGTGTGGTGGAAAGTCAGTGATTTTGTAACAAATGTTCTAAGGTTTAATTTGTTACTTTTATGACTATTAGTCTTGAATTCATTGAGTATCATATCATTTCCTCTAAGTTGTATTAAGTTCCCATTCATCAAAGGAATATGTGTTGCAGTTTCGCTCGCCAAAGTTCATTATTGATCTATCATCAATTGCTTGCACATATGCTTTGTTCTTATTACTGCAACAAATCAAATTGAATAAATTTGCAGGTCCAAAAGAGATTGCTATTACGTACAGATCCTTAGTGAAGACCGTCAGCATTCACTAATGTCATGACCTCAAAACAATGAAAACCAGCCCATTCTACATGAACTATAGAGTCCGTGGAAGATGGCGGGCAAAGGAACAAAGAAATTCATGTAGGCATGTGGAACGAGGTGTGGAAAAGGCATGTTTAGATCCCCATCGGAGCTGGCCAGGTAATTGATGGTAGGTGCGTATCCAATGGATTATGGAAATATAGTAGAGTAATTAATGAGACATCTATTCTAATCCCGTTGACAATGCATATTATTGTTCTTAAAAGATCCTAAAGTTACTGTAGAATCTTGGAGCCAAAATAATAAGCAAGTGAAATTAAGAGATTAATTAGTTTTGCACAATGTTTTTAAATCCAAATCAAAGGTCAAATCGTTTTGACTTTTGGTTCACAATTTAAATAATTTAACCAGTTCAATCGATAAAACCAACGGATTGATCAAAATACTCTAAATATATTATTATGCAAAATATTTCACATGATGTAGTGGTAGGTGGTTGACTTTTTATAAGAAAGATCACAAGTTCGAGTCCTTTTATGAACAAACTTTAGTTTTAAAAATAAAATAAATGTGTTGTAAAGTAAAAAGTTGCCAAATACAATGCTGTATCTCAAGTGAAAGAGTCATTGTTCCATAACATGGAGCATGGGTGTTCGAATCCCACGATTGTCATAAAAAATTTGGTTAAAGAGCTTTGATATTTCTATTAGATAAATAAATTTCAAGCACTCATCAACACAAGAATTGCATCGTTCTAGTGGCAAAGAATCAGAATAAAGATATTAAGGTTGCAAGTTTAAGTCTCGGAGAGACAAATTTCTCAAGATTTTATGCCCAAAATTGAACTGTCCGGTCGAACGATTGGTCCATCAATTATCTTCCACCCACTCTTATTCACATCTAAAATTTGGCAGGCAATAAATTAAAAACATAGTAATAATGTGGAGGAAGAAGATGAAGAATAGTGTAATGCTGATTCTAACAAACTATGCAAATATGGTTCCATTTCTCTAGATAAAACCATTGCACTTCTTCAATTTCAGATTTGACCTTTAAGCTTTGAGCGGCTGTGCAAGGGTTGCTTTCTACTTGCATTGTTCTTTTTCTTTTGTTTTTTCCCCTCTGAAAATTGAAAAATTAGCGCAAGAATTGTGCCCGCCGAAACAACCAATACGTACCGGCTATACCGATTGGTGCTTACGAAGATTAACAACCATGTGTTTAGGTTCCATCCGATCTGTGAGGAAATTAATGACAGGCGTATACAATGGGTTGGCTGAAATATACACCAGATCGAGTAAGGAAGACTGTGGACTAAGAAAATGAATTATTTAAACCAAGACAAGGACTTGAAATGAATGCTACAGATCAACACGGAAATAAGAAATTTAAAATAAAAAAATAAAAAATGAAAAATGAAAAGAAAAGAGAGGAGCTAGAGGGATGACTGATGAATGTACCAACAAAAATATATAGTAAGTCAGTCAACTTTTGGCAGCATTACACTATTCTTCATTTCTTCACCTTCTTCCTCCACATTATTATTATTTTTTTAATGGTCAGCATTGCCTGGAAAATTTTAAATGTGAATAAGAGTACGTGGAAGATGATTGATGGACCACGTAAAATAAAGAAATTCAAGCACGGGTGTGGAAATTCAAGGTGGGCGGCGTATCCAAATGGATTACGGAAATAGCAGAGTATAGCTACGCAATGGAAAATGTAATACTATAAATAACACACTGCCTGTGATGAATATATTTCATAGAAGTTCTTTTCCTTCAAAATTTGAAATTCCCAATGGGTCTTCTTACGGCTCTCTTCATTGGATTTCTCAGTCTAGCTACTTTAAATGTTGCCTTTTGCAATGGAGGCTGCAAAGAGAGTGAGAGGCAAGCGCTCTTGAAGTTGAAGCAAGATATGGTGGATCCTGCAAACCAACTCGCATCTTGGGTTGCTGATGATGAAGATTGTTGCAGATGGAAGGGAGTTGTCTGCGATAACATGACTGGCCACGTTCTGGAACTCAATCTCAATGACGGTAATGATGAGCAATTAGAGGCTCGGTTGGGCGGTAAGATAAGTCCTTCCCTGCTCCATTTGAAGCATTTACGTTATTTGGACCTCAGCAACAATAACTTTGGAGAAATTCACATTCCCAAATTCTTTGGATCTTTAAAGAGTTTGAGAATCCTTAACCTCTCCTATTCAGGATTTGCAGGGGAGGTACCCCATCATCTTGGGAATCTCTCCAATTTGAAATATCTCAACCTCTATGAGAATGAGAATTTACATATTGAGAATTTTCAATGGTTGTCTGCTCTTTCCTCCTTGGAACACCTCGATTTCACCTCGGTTAATCTTAGCAAGGCCGCCAATTGGTTTCACGTCATAAATACACTTCCTTCATTGGTAGAATTACACTTGTCTTGGTGTGAACTAGGGCCCCATTATCAAGTCCATCCCATTACAAGTGTAAATTTATCATCTCTTGATGTCCTTGATCTTTCTGGTAATAATTTCCATGACTTATCAATAATAAAGTGGGTCTTTCGTCTTAAGAAGCTAATTTTCCTTGATTTATCTGTCAACCACTTTGATGGTCCAATCCCTTATGATCTTCAAAATCTAACCCTTTTAAGGCACCTAGATTTGTCGTACAATTATTTCAATTCTTCAATACCTAATCGGTTGGACAACTTTAGTAGTCTTCAATGGTTGTCTGGTCTTTCCTCCTTGGAATACCTTGATTTGACCTGGGTTAATCTTAGCAAGGCCTCCAATTGGTTTCATGTTGTAAACACACTTCCTTCCTTAGTAGAATTACGCTTGTCTTGGTGTGAACTGGAGCTCCATTATCAAGTCCATCCCATTACAAGTGTAAATTTATCATCTCTTAATGTCCTTGATCTTTCCCGTAATAGTTTCCATAACTTATCAATTATAAAGTGGGTTTGTGGTCTTAAGAAGCTAATTTCCCTTGATTTATCTTCCAACCAGTTTGCTGGTCCAATCCCTTACGATCTTCAAAATTTGACCCTTTTAAGGTATCTACGCTTGTCAAGCAATGGTTTCAATTCTTCAATACCTGATTGGTTGGACAACTTTAGTCATCTTGAGTTTCTTGAACTCCTTAATAATGATTTTGAAGGTGAAATCCCAATTAGGTCAATAGGAAAACTCTGCAACTTGAGTTTTTTGGATCTCTCTTATGTCAATTTGAGTCTAAAAATATCTCAAATTTTAGAAATGTTTTCTACAGGATGCATTTCTAATTCACTAGAAACCTTGCACTTAGACAATTGTCAACTCACTGGGCAACTAACCAATCAACTTGGTAATTTTAAAAGTTTGAGAGAATTGTCTTTGTTTGATAACTCAATCTCTGGTCCTATTCCAACATCCATAGGTGAGCTTCAATCCTTAGA